TTCACAGATTACTAGTTTAGTTATTGAAGACAAATTTGGAGTGGTATTAAGTTACTCTTGATATGATCTTACACTAATAAGGCCGGTAATCTTTTGTTTGTTGGTAGCTTTCAGACACATTCTCCTTATTATTGTATCCGTTTTTAGCCATATTTATATTGTCTGGAAGAAAGTTGGATTTCCTAAATAGGGGTGTAAAATCGTGCTGGTTGTTTGTGGCGGTAAAAAAACTCCCAAAATCAATAGCTCTGGAAGTCTTCTATATTTGATGCCGACTGCTTTAATTTCACTGAACTCAACTAGCTGAATGCACTAGCTTACCCAGCCGCACCAGATAACGAATGAGCATGCCGTGCTACGCATCCCTTTTAACTACTAGCCAGCTTAGACCAAACGTTCTTTCGACATACCGATAGCTTTCTAAATATATCTTCGAATTTATTCATTCCTGACTTCTGACTCGACTGGGTTAGCATACTTCTTCTGCAAAGGTATTAGTGGTTAAAGCGTTGTCAAACTCCGAATATTAGTGGCATCTTTAAGGTTATAATTTATGTAAAACAATGGCAAGGTGAATGTTTTTAGCTGCCTATAGGTGATCTATTTCACTGAATAAAATTTTTCTGCACCTCTTTAATATCTAAACTAATATTTCAAATTTCTAATGAAAGTGTGGCTAGGACGCTTTTAATTTCGCAAATACAGTGACTGGTGACTAACTGAGAATAGCTGGGTTCCTATTTTACTTCGAACACTTTTTCTTTTTAACAAGTAATCGATTTCGGATACTTATCTCGTTAATGACTGGATTGCACAAGCTATTTATTACAGAACATGAAACACATAACCTAGAGGTGAAATTGTTCATGTATTTTGTATATTTTCGCACTTTAAACCTACATTTATTTTACTACCCAACCACTGTTTTGATATCGTCATGCTGACATTATGAACTCTAGGAATTTCAAACGTTATATTTATACTCTGTGGTATTTGTGCTAACTGATGATTCTTTTGTACTTGATTGCGCGTGGACTACGAATTTCAAGTATAATACGTCTATTTCAGCTCATCTAATTCTATCTGTTTTAAATAGCACTATTTCGGAAATTCTTGGTTGGCATATTAATTTGAATACTTTTAAATATAAAAATTGAGTCACAACGGAGACAAATTTTTAACGGTTGAATGCTAATGCAATCAGAGATAGTTTTGGAGAATACATGGAGTACCTCGCAAATAACTAGAAAATATATTAAAGACGATAACTTTGCAGCTTATTTCCTGAAATTGATCGGCAAAGAGTCTCATAACCTGATTAAGAATTCAGCTTTCCCAGAAAAACCAATATCATAATCATGCAAATCTCCCAAGTAATTACTGTTTAATAATGTCCAGTGTCCTCGTTTTGAATGCCTAGAGAGATTGAAGTTTCATAAGATGGTGCGACAAAATGATCAGGACGTTAAAGGCTATTTACTTGGAATACAGAAATAAACGAGGAAGGGCAATTTTGAAAACTGAATTTCGTAATCGATTGATTGCTGGGATAAATATTCCGGATTTAGAAGGAGAAGTAACTCAGAAACCTCAAAGCTCATTCCATGAAATTAAAACATGATGTATTAACTAATAGGCAATGAGTGGGTTTGATTTCCAGTCGCCGAAATTTTCTGATGCTTTGTTTAGTCGCCTAGATAAACTACATTCTGAAAATCACTCAAGCTCGCGTTTGGTTAATAATCGTTCCTACTTTCATAGAAGGATGAAAGATGAAGCAGGTTACAGAGGTGAACACAGGTGTGTTATAAGTTTATCCTGTAGTAAATTCTACTTACGTAATTCATGAGTCTTTCGTCTACTTATTGCTTTAATTTGTAGTGTCAGTTACTATGTTAAGCCCATATACTGTATTCTTACTTTCGGACATCCCATTCTATTCATTCTACTTGAGTCATACTTTGACCTTGTTATTTATTCGCTTTTCAATCTAGACCGTTTTTATATGAGCGTATATGTGTGTGCCCTTCTTATCCCATTAATTGCATGTCTGTAGCTTTATTTTGTCTGACTATAAATATTGAGTGACGCTTGACTAATGGGGAATTGGCTTACCAGCCATCACCACTGCGCATCATTTTTACTTGGCTTCACCGTGTGCTTGCTTGCTGTACGCTTGCGGATTTTTATTAATCATTAACAATAAATTATCTCTACAACTGGTGTTCAGGCTTTTGAATAATCTCGAGTAAATCCGTAATTCTATTAGAAGATTAAGCCTACCTTAAATACTCAGTTAACGGGATATTATTTGTCGGAGTCAGATATAGAGGACATTAGTCTCAACAAAGTATAGTAAAGTGAAACACAACAAGCTGGTTCGTAAAGCTACTGTTAATTTCGTCAATAATGTTTGTAAACCCTATGATTCATGAAGGTGTGTGGTTCTAAATATCATTTGTCTTTATCCACCATTTCGAAAGGTAATTTTTATATTCTCAAGCAATTACACATCTACTTCCATTCATTTCATGAATTATTGTTGACACAGGTCGTGTAGAGTCCATTATTTCATTCAAGATCTTGCAATCCTTAGATTCTAACCTTGTAGCGGGACCCAATAAAGTTCCAGTATTAGAGATTACTGGACACAAAGTGCTCACATGAGGATGCTGGAAACCGCTATTGAGAGATGGTAATTCTTTACACCTCCTTATGAAGATTTAGTTAATGAAATAAGACGATCAATACCGGGTTTGAACAATGTGAAGGGGCTTACAGTGGATGTGTTTTTATGGGTTTCCAAAAAGGTCTCGCGATTTACTTGTAGATTTGATAGCTACAGGTGCTACATGCAGTGGAGGGATGACAATTCAGCCTATAAGACTTCAAGTACAGAGTGATTCAGTCTTTCTAAAAAGACGAATAATTCGTTATGGTCTTTGAAAAACAGTACATCATACATTAGACGTTTTGCGTGCAAAAAGCATAATTTATTCGATTCAGTCTTCAGAATGGGGTACTCCTATTTTCAATCCCTTGAAGTCTGATAGGATGACCTCAAGAATATGTACTGATGACTATCGATTAACACTGAACTCATTCGTTGATGTAGACATGCACGAAGGTGAAAGCTGAGGATATTTTGAGTCGACTTTGTGGTTCTAAGGTGTTTTTAAAGTTGACTTAAAATCCACTGTTTTTACTGGTCATGAAGCCTTAAATTTCATTTACCATACAGATCTCGTCAAGATCTCATTAGAGAAACTCTTCGATACCTAAGATGTATATTCATTGCCAAACGAAAAGGTTAGAATGCTAATCTGAAACGTAGATTTCCTGTTTATTTTACAAGGGGAATGAGCTATTCACTACTTTTGATGGCATTTTGTATTTAAATGACTGTGCTGCTATCCCTCCTTCATTATGTGAGTCTGTCAACGAAGAAATTTATAGTGGGTATATGGGTGTTGTGAAAATGAAGATTTTGGCAAAGCTCATATGATGGCGGTCGAAGATAAATTCACATATACGCCGCACAATTGTGAGAAATGTCATAAGTCGAAAAGTCATCCTTCGAAGTGGACTCCGTGGCCAGTATCTTCTGATGCCTGTCAGAGAATTAATACAAACTACCGTGGTCCATTTCTCAGCAAATACCATGCACTTGTCATTGATTCTTTTTCTCAGTGACCTGACGTTTTCTTCACAGCTCCAAATTCCGAGTTTATAATTCAAGCACTAAGAAAACTTTTTAGTCGAGAGGGGATTCTTACGGTGTAAGTGACTGATGATGGTCCATATTTAGCTGCAGACGCACTCACCACCCGGTAAAATGATAGAGGGTTCAGACGTCCAATCACTGATGTCATACTCACTTGTTTTCATGGTTAGGATAAAAATGTCCTCAGGACATCGAAAACTGTTATCAATTCCATCGTTGCTGCAACATTTGATGAACTGTGGGGGGAGAGTAGACACATTATAACTCCAATAAGAAAATGCTAAACATTCTGTGACGAAAAAGACTTCACCAGAGTTATGAGAAAAGAAGGATACCTCGTTCGAATATCAGGTGTTTAGAAGCTACGGATGTTACATATTATCGTTGGAATGATCTTCGACAAACCGAGGAGCTTGTGGTGAAGAACGTTGAAAAACCTATGGTTCGAATTTTATATACCAATGATTTATGTACACCCAACAGCCATGTTGATTAAATACAGTGCCAGGAACCGCATGAGTCCGTTCTAATTTCCGTTGTTGATTCTTGTTCTAAAGAGTATATTCTAGATCATACAGAGGCTACATCTTATACACGGTTGGACACTCGAAGAAATTAGACCACAGAAATTCTGACTCCCACTTAGTTTACGGTGGTTATGGTATTTGTGCCAACTGATGATTCTTTTGTACTTTATTGCGTTTGGATTACGAATTTCAAGTATAATACGTCTACTTCAGCTCATCTAATTCTACCTGTTTTAAGTAGCACCATTTCGGAAATTCTTGATGTGTACATTATTCGAATACTTCTAGATGTCATGTATTTTCTTTAAGATGAAGCAGTAATGCGAAAACATTGTATATTGCCAATCAAAAGATTTATAGAAACGGAGATCGCTATTCTTCACAAGACATTAGGCAGTTCACCAATCAGTTAACGACTAATTGAATCTTAGAAGTACAACTAACTCCAGAATACCAAAATTAAAATTTGTCAACCCATCAGGCTCTTCATGACACGTTAGCCACTAGTAATGCTCTTCGAATCGGAATGTATTTGAAGATAAACATAGTTGGATGCAAAATACTTCATTGAGCTCAGAATTACGAAGAAATGATTTCTAAAAGCGCTCTATGATACTTGACACATGTCAAAATACTAAGCTGTACTTAATCAACATGTACTCGCAGACATGAAAAAATGACGTTTATCCACCTATTAGTACACAATCTTGACATATAATTGCATAAACACCAAATATTGGATCCTGAAGATGGAGGTCATATATTGGCACAACATTAAACTGCCATCCTTGACCTTGGTCTTCTGTAAGTTTCCACATATCCCGGACATTAATGTCGGAAATTTTAAAAAACCTACTCTTAATCAGTTCGAAATAAAATAAGATGTCACTAGACTTTTCAAACAGACAGTCAAACATGTACTAATAAAGTTATTCATAGGAATATATATTCGGTCGCTTTCATGCAAAGCACAAACTTTTTACGGTACCGAAGTAATTCCTAGTTTGATTCATGCAAAATTAAATCTATTTCCATCACACACTCCAACTCTCACTGTAGCTGCAACTTTATGTATGTATACACACTGTTCTCATGTAACTACAGTCCTCTGAACAACTCAGGATTGCTATAGTCCGCACAAAATAATAAGCATTACATATTTTCTTTCATCTCAACATCTTAATTTTGTCGGGTAAACACATTTTGTGGGTTCAAGGAAAGTCGAATAATAAATGTCTGTTTGTACCAGTGCACAATATCTCTTATCATTATTTAACGTTAGTTATCTCACTTTTCCAAGAGTGCTACAAAATTTCCAAAAGTATCAAATTGCTACTTGGAATGCTTCGCTAGTTAACCTATTAAAACACGGGCCTTCGGCTTTTACATCACTATTTGTTCCATAATGTCTATCTAACTCAATTCGCTACAACCTTTTAGTTGATGATTGAACGCACCATTATTCAAGTCTGAATTCTCATCCTTCGAAGCATCCACAGGAATAGCAAAATTTCAGTCGACTTTTTTCTCCCATAAAAAGTCTCCTTGACGGGTGGTGTTGTGAACATAATTAAGAATGTTGAAATAATTCGTCTGAACATTTCAGATTTCTGGTATTGTTTCAAGTGTTCCAGTGAATTATCAAACATTATTTTTAAAAAACACAAATATACGATGGTATTACGTTTACCTTTTTTGATAATTTCGCAAATTATTCCGTATCTTTGTTTTCCAGCCAAATTCCTAAATCGACTCCACATTAACTGTATATACGTTTTAAACATGGTACTGACTCCAATATTTCGCCTAGAACAAGATGACAAAAAACTTAAAGTCATCATTCATGCTCCACTAGCTAAAATATCTGAAATGGAAGTATGCGTTGAAGAACAAACTTTTTATTTTGACTCCTCCCCGTACTATCTCAAGTATGGCCTCAATTGTTTCTCATTGATGTATTTAGATTCGATATTCCAGGTTCTGTATTAACGGATGAAGATACTTTTGATTATGAGCTCATCGACGGTGATATACACATTACATTGGAGAAGTCTAAACCAGGACTCTTCAAGGATTTAGATTTAATCACAAAATTGTTGATAACTTCGTCTGAAACAAAGCCGTCCAAGTGTTTGATTGAAGAATTGAATGATACTGTTGAACAACAAAAGTGTTGGTCATTGGACTGGTTTAGCAATTCAAAATGTATAAGTTCAACACCAGAAGATGTGGTTCTTTCTAACCCAACTTATGGTTTTAGTGGTTCCAAATCTGGACTGTTCCAAGTTGAGGTAATTTACTTCCTTTTCAAATTGATACTCAAGTGGTAGCTTTATCAAAGACCTAAGCATGTTTCGCAAGTGTATATCTGTCAGTTAGCTCATAACAAAGAAAATCCAAGTCAATCAAATAATATATATATATATATATATATGGTTAGAGGTTCTTCGTAGATATGGTTGCAGGCTACTTGGTTGGAGCCTTCACTAGTAAAACGACCAGTGGTTGGAGATTTTCGGCGGCATGGTTCAGAATCGGTCACAATAGCGCAAATAAATTTGCTCTTCATTGCTTCAAATTGAAAGTTGTAACACTATTTTCCACTTTGTTTCATACATTCATTTCTTTCCCGAACAATGTCACCCATGCCTTATCTTTTCTACTAGCCTTGATACTGTAAATACCCTTAAGACTCCGGCATAGTTCTTGATGATTTCATCTCACTTTACTGATTTGATTTGGCTAGTTAAACCAATACATATATGTCCCCGGTTCTATGTTGTTTATGACTAACCGATTAATTAGAAAGTCACATTAACGTAATGCCATTTTCTTAAATATACCTCGTTTAACATCCTCTCTTGTTTTCCAACTTTTTTGAAAATGCTACTTAGTCTGATTTAACACATGCAGTGGATCTGCCTCATCCAGATTCGGTTGATGTTTTCAAACGATCAGAGCTTAGAAAAGTGGATGAAGAGAAGAAATTTCTTGTCGATCATTATCTGTGAGTTTTAACTAATTTTTTATGGATTTCTTCTTCATCTGCTTACTGCTGAAAAATATGACAAAACAGTTTATTACACAGACTAAAATATATTTTATAGTAGTGTATATCAATAGACAAATATTATGCAACATTACTGTGTGGAAATTGCATTTGAAAATCATCCAGGAAAAATGAATAAAAAGTACTAAAAGATAGCCCCCTGAATGCTCTGGTACGGCCGAGAGTGGGGAGAGTCCGCTCTCCCTCTCGAAATACTCTCACACGGCCACGCGTATACAGCCTCTGCCAGAGAAGTCCTACTCATTGCCTTCTCGTGGCGGGGGTGTTGTTTACGAAAATGAGAGGACGGAAAGCGAATGTCCGGCGCTTTAACCGGATTCCAAATCAATGGTGCACATGGGCTCCAGTATCCTGCGGGAACGAATGGCGTATGAACCAATCGTTGGTCACCGGCTACCATGGGACTGCATCTCCTTACGATGCTCCACTGCCTTGTGGGTTAGACCTTTAGGTCAAAGGCTCGGGGAGTGGCCCCCTAAGATAACCACCTGCTTCGGTTTGGGCACCCGGGCAGTATCACAGCCCACACACAAATTGATGAACTCTTTATGCCTATGGAAATTACCTTTCTCGCTTTGAAAAGCAAACAATTGATTCAGATTATTATCATTACAATTATTGTCATTATTAATACTAATATTATTATTACTACTATTATTGTCATTATTGTTATTATTATCATTATTATTATTATTTTCCACATTATTTACCCTCTTTTATACTTATACAGCGGCTCGTCTTTGGTGGAAATCCGACTGTATCTAATCGTTCTCGAGTCACTGTCCGGTTGAAAATTGTATGTTACCACCGAATACGAGGACTGAAGCAGTTTTTCTGAAACCACGTGCACCATTCAAACTGGCTGCCTTCAACGTTCGCACATTTATACAGGTCGGACAACAGATAGGGCTGGCTATGTCTTTGGAAAGTCTTAATATTGACGTGTGTTGTCTATCCGAGACCCGTATTCAAGACTCTGGCGAAGTACTACAAATTCGATCTCCATCTGTCGCTTCGAAAAGCTTGTTTCACGTGCGCTTATCCGGGGACCCTGTGGCATCTTCGTCTGGTCTTGCTGGCGTTGGTGTCGCACTAAGCGCTAGAGCTGAGGCAGCACTAGTCGATTGGATCCCCATTAACAATCGGTTATGTGCTGTTAGATTAGAAAGTTCCATCAAAGTGAGAAGAAATCGGCGTGAGAAACGATGTCTTTTCGTCATCTCCGCCTATGCCCCGACAGATTGCAGCCCGGATGCAATCAAGGATGAGTTTTACCACCAGTTATCAGTTCTTCTCCAGAAAGTGCGTTCGACAGATATTGTAGTACTAGCCGGAGACTTGAATGCTCAGGTCGGGCGTCTAGGCACAGAAGAGAGTCGTTTAGGTGGCCGATGGGGACTTGTTGGTCGCAGGTCAGATAATGGGGACCGTCTACTGCAACTTTGCACAGACCACAACCTGTTTCTGGTTACCAGTAACTTTCGGCACAGTCATCGCCGATGTGCCACCTGGCGTCCTCCCTCTGCATCTCAAGCCTGGACTCAGATTGATCACATCGCGATCAGCTACCGCTGGCGTGGTTGTGTACAAGACTGCCGCTCCTTTTGGAGTACCTATCTGGACTCTGACCATGCCTTGGTCTGCGCCAATCTTGCCTTACTTTTCAGTGGACAACGAAGTGAACGCCATCAACGGATTGATGTTAGCAAGCTGGTTGCAACTTCTGTTGCAAGTAAGTATCGAACCGAGCTAGCCTCTAGGCTAGCTACCACTCCACCGAAAAGTATAGATGAGCATTGGTTGCAATTGCATGACGCCATGAAAATGGCGGGAACAGTCAGTTGTGGGTTTGCGAAACGTCCCGCTTTTAAGCACTGGGTTTCTCCAGGTTCCTTACAACTCATTGAAGCCCGTCGGTCTACTCCGGGTGACCGTGAGTTTGACCATAAACGAAGGATGTTATGTAAGGAAATTGGGCAAAGCTTGCGTAAGGACCGAGAAGCCTGGTGGTCGATGCGTGCTAATGAGCTGGAAGCAGCAGCTGCATCTGGTAATTACCGGAAGCTCTTCCAGCTCATCCGAGCCACTGGCAGCAAGAAGTCTGGTGTGAGTGAAACAATCTGCGAGGATGATGGGATGCCAATCACTAACATCCATCGACGTCTTGGACGATGGGCAGAATTTTTCGAAGAGCAGTTCAACTGGCCTGCTGCTCCGGCAACATCGGTCAGACTGTCCTGCCCTCCATGGCCGGTGACGACTGATCCACCAAATGAGGAGGAAGTCCGCAAGGAACTCCAACTCTTGAAGCGTTACAAATCACCTGGCCCAGATGACTTACCTCCGGCTCTTTTTAAAGATGGTGGTGACTTTTTGACTAAGGAATTGAGGACGTTGTTTACAAAGGTTTGGGAACTAGAGAGTGTACCAACGTCATGGAATGAGTCGATAGTTGTCCCTATCTTTAAAAAGGGTTCACGTCGTTCTTGTAGCAACTATCGGGGGATAAGTTTACTTCCGATTGCGTCCAAGCTATTGGCTTCCGTCATTCTTCGTAGGTTGTTCAAAACCCGAGAAAGATTGACTCGCGAGGAGCAGGCTGGGTTTCGTTCTGGTCGAGGATGTATTGATCATATCTTCACCCTCCGCCAAATGTTAGAACACCGCCATACTTTTCAAAGGCCAACAATCGTAGTGTTTCTTGACATCAGGGCTGCCTTCGATTCGTTGGATAGGACTGTTCTCTGGGATTGTCTATTGAAGAAGGGTGTGCCTGAGAAGTTTATTAACATCCTAAAAGCCCTGTATAAAAACACCTCAGGCAGAGTGAGGGCATACAACCACCTCTCTCCATTGTTCCATTCGAGCAGTGGAGTTAGGCAGGGTTGCCCAATCTCACCATTCCTCTTCAACTTTGCCATCGATGACATTCTGGAAACAGCTCTGATGAATGTAAGTAATGGTGGTGTGGATCTGTTGCCTGGAGAAAGACTTCTCGACCTTGAGTATGCGGACGAAATTGTCTTATTGTGCGATAATGCCTAAGCCATGCAACCAGCACTTAATCAGTTGGCAATCAGTGTCCGTAAGTATGGTATGTGCTTTGCACCTTCGAAGTGCAAAGCACTTCTATAAGACTGGCAGGATTCCAATCCTGTACTCACCCTGGATAGTGAGCAGATAGAAGTAGTCGAGAAGTTCGTGTATCTAGGTAGCTGCATAAGTGCTGGTGGTGGCATGAGTGATGAGATCAATGCACGAATAGTGAAAGCCAGAGCGGCTTATACCAATCTGGGCCACCTTTGGCGCCTTCGTGGTGTAAAAGATCGGATCTACAACGCATCGGTGAGAACAGTTCTGCTCTATACCTGTGAAACCTGGCCTATCCGAGTTGAGCATTTTAGATGACTCACTGTGTTTGATCATCGTTGTGTTCGTACGATTGCTGACATCCAGTGGCAACACCGTGTCAGTAATGCAGAGGTTCGACATCGTGTGTTTGGACACAGCGACGATAATTCAATTGGTGTCAATATCTTGAAACATCGATTTTGGTGGCTTGGACATGTTCTACGAATGTCGTCCCAGCGAATTCCACGTCGTGCATTATTCGCCGACTCTGGGACTGGCTGGAAAAAGCGGAGAGGTGGTCGGTGTATGACATAGTGTCGTTGTATAAAAGAAAGCTACAAAAGAATGGCTTGTGTTGGTCCTTCACGACTCTCTGGCTGGGGTCCGAGAGATGGTGCAACACAGTGGCTAGAGACGTTATCAGATATGGCTCGGAATAGAAGCCAATGGCGATCCTGCTGTAACCTTCTTTTACTTTCTTCATAAAAAGTGGTTGTGTCTCCTTTACCTGAAAGATTTCTTCTGATTGTACCTTTTCGTTCCGTCGTTACTACCACACTACCTTACTCCAATCTCTTCGTCATTGTTCTCTTTTTCTTTTGCGTTCCTTAGTTTTTTTTCTTTCTTTCTACTTCTCTTCGAATTCTCATTGTTTTGTGTGGCGCATATATATTGGCGCTCTCTTGTACCAATATTTATGTGTTCAAATAAATAATAAATAAAATAAACTAAAAGATAGATAAGAACAGAGAAGTTAGATTTCGTTCCGTTAGTAAGTACATTTTACCATTTACAGGACAAAACCAGATTATCACTGGCTTTAACTTTAAGCTGTATTAAATTCCTAAGTTGCTGAGTTGTAAAATAATTCATAAAACTCCATCCATACCGTGATAGGTAATCAATAGACTGATGTAACGAAATTCAGCAGCTACATTCAGAAGTTCAGTTGTGCTATTGAATAATTACTAATATGGACTGTAATTTTTTGGTCTTAATCTTCCTACAACTATTTATATCTAGTTGATCTTGGTGAAAAATATATGGCCTAAAATTTCAAGATGGTTTCTAGTATTTCACTGAACTCACTAACCGATCAAAGCTAGACACCCATTGAAAACCTTAAAACAATGGGCGGCCGTTTCATCCTGGTATGAAAGTACACGGAAGTGCGCATCCACAATCCCAACACTGATCTAGAAGTTAAGGGTTCTTGTACAAGACCAAAGACTCTGTCTTCGATTCCCGCGTGCGGAGTTGTGGATGCACACTGCTAAGGAGTCTCGTACAAAGGTGAATCAGCCGTCCAGAGCTTTCATGTTTCCAATAGTTGTCTAATTTTGGTCGACCTGTGATCTTAGTGAAATTCAACAATCTTCATAGCCCTCTACAGATAGTTTCTAGCAGACTAATACTATTATGCTATTCAATTTCCCTGTTTTTCAAGGAGTTGGAAAAAACTGGGTTAATTCAGTTGTCAGACGAACTTAATTGATTTATTTAGCGTCCAAACCTTCCCTGTTTTAGACAAATGTATTTTGTGAATGGATTTATTAGTGAGGTTTCCTTATGAAAAACTTTCTCTTAGATGCCCTGAAAAAATCTGGGGAATACTGTTTACAGTTCTTTTCAATGTGTATGTTACTTTTGATTGGTCCAGTTTATCCACCAGGGCAAAATTATCTAATAAATTCATTTTTCAGGCACAAACTTGGGCCACCTTCTGAGTGTGAAGGTTAGTAGTTCTAGTCAATTACCCAAGCCGAAGTAGGTGGTGCTGGATTCGAACATGCAGCTTGATGGATAAAAGTTGACCACCTAAACCACTGAGCCATTGGTCCACTCAGATACCTCGTTTTCTTCAGTTTAATATGAAGTTGTAGAATTTGCTACCAATATGAATTCATGTCATAATTTTCATTCTAATCAAGACTTAACTTTGTTCGTTTGTATACTAGTAGCTGTGAGAATTGTCTATCGCCACGCAGCCATAACTTTTAAATCTCTCAATGATAATTATCAAAAGAAAACAACCATTCTTTATCATGGTACAATAATTATATATGCCTATCCATATATACCTAGCAGCTGAGAGTCTTTTAGCTTTAAGTGATCTCCAATAAGTTTAGTAAACCTTAATGCATTTGGTGCGGTCGAGGCAACCGAGTATAGCATTTCTAACCTTCACTATTTTATTCGAACATCCCGGAAATTTAATTGTTTTCAACTTTCTCAACAATTAAATCACTTAAACATTATTTACCATCACTGTCGATCATTTTTGAGCAGATTACCTATAATGTCCCTTCATTATTGTATGTTCTATTTCTAAGTATTTAAATAAAACTAATATTTTATTTCGTTTATTATTTTAATTCTGTTTACTGAATATTTTGACAATAACATTCATCTCCTATGTATTTATTAAAAAATTGTTTATTTATGATGGTTTTCATATTTTACGTTTATAGTTCCCGTTTCTATTTGTTGACTATCATTGACACAGCCATTATCTGCTACTTAGTTTATCCCGTTTTTTTGTAAATAGTCTTTATATAACTATTGAAGAAACCAGTCCTTTTTCGATCGTATTCTGGTACATGTATATGCTTCATAAACTTCACAAAATGAGGTTTTTTTTAGATGCACTGCTCATACTGTCATTAGTGTAATAGTACTACTGTATTGTAGACAAGTATCCTACATTGATTCCGAAATTGTCAACGTCATTCAATCGTTCGGTCTAAATGTTTTAACAGATTTAACATGTGATATAATTTCTTTTTAGAAAATCAATTTCCACTGTCACTAATATTCAATACTTGTTTTCTCTATCATTCATATTTGTTTCTGTTCTTATTTTCCTCTCCTTTTATAATCATGATTGACAAATATCAGTGCTGATTATTTCGAATCGGACTCTTGGATTCATATGAAAAACATTGATTTACCATGGTCTATTAATAATAATACTAATAGTTTACCAGAATTCTCATCCGATGAACGTCATCGTCTAATCACATTATCAACTCGTCGACTTCCTCTTCAACCTGATAATGCTTTGGAAGAAAAAATGATATATTTAGGCCTACTCGATCTATTATTTGCTTATATATATGATTACAGAGTTCGTGAAGGTGAGACTATGTCCGAATCCGGTTGGAATATAGTGAAACTTGCAGCTACACTTTCATGGTTTGAGGTAATTTTCTTTGTCTTTTCTATTATTGTTATTCTTACTCTCCTCCCTTTCATAGTTGCATTATTAAGAGATTCAAATATATGTCACCTGGCTTCACAATCTGATACACTGCCACTGAGCTATTAGGATTTCAGGCAACTCTGTGTAGGATTGAGATATTTTAAATTGATTGTGACCAAAATTATGTTTGTCTAATATTGATCAATGTTTTGGAAAAAGCTTAACTTAATCGGACATAACATCTCTTTTCATCCCCGTTTTTACAGGTTTATCATTCCTTACCGGAAGTTGTTGTGTCATTCTATAGACGTGCTTTAACTTATCCCCTTGTACGAAGTTGGAGATTTTGCACACTTATCAAACGCGATGCTTCTTATCTTTTACAACATACTAATAGTAAGGCTAATTATAATTCATATTCATTTATTCTTAATGATGAATTTTCTTCTCAAAAAAATCTATCACATTTATTGGCTATTTATTGTTGCTTTTCATTGGTAATTTAAATGCCAATAGCTTTAATATTATCCCCTAAAGATCTTAAGTCTTGATTTACTGGTCCAGTTACTTGACTATAAACTTCTCAGTTATTGATTTGTATTGTACTATAATTACTGAAGTTCCAATTACAGCTTATTATGAAAATTTGTACGTATGGAGATTTTTATAAAGTACCTATGGGAGAAATCTCAGGAATACAGATTCTTTGAAATCTTTTATTTCTCATAAAGTAAACTAAAGTTGATCTGTAAGAACGGCCTTTGGTGAACTGAAGGAAGCTCTAAAACGCTCAGAAAAAGCCGAAGACATTCCATCCAATCATCTTTTGGAAATAGCAAGAACAAAGATTCTATCAGAATAGCATGAATCATCTTTTGGAAGAACATTCCAGAATCTCGACTTGTAGCTTCCCGACTGGACAAATGCCAAAAACCACTGCATGCGAATTGGACGATTGTAATGATGATTTTGTTTTTACTAAAAACTATAAATACCTGAGTGCGTTGTGCCATATTTGACACTGTTTGGAATAAGATTCCTTCCTACTCGTCTTTTGTTCTCTTACTTACAACTTGGAAGGTTCTGGCGTTTTAGTGCCCAGGTTTTACGTGGTATAGCAAGAATACAAGCTCTAGATATAATTTGATGAATAACGGGTCTTTAAATAACCACTTTAGAAGTTTATAAACTTCACGTAGATTATTATTGTTTGATCCTCAAATGCATCATGATTTCAAAAAATACCCACACGTTTTCCACTGTGTAATCATCAAAGTCAGTCCACTTTCAATATACCTGTATGTAGAATCTAGCCACCTACTGATCCTAATGAGTATGAAGCACATGCATATGTCACACTCAACTGTTTTGGAGACAAAACTAGCTTAAAATAGTCACGTGCTTTGTTAATAACAAACTGAAATATAAGACGTGCTTATTCGTATTGTGACTGAAATAATGGCATTGAATTTTTCATCTGAAAAACCATTATGTATAATATTACCCATACAAGTCAAGATCATATTAAATGATCCTTCAACCTTTATGTATACCCACACACCTCAATATGCACATGTAATGGAGGCGTGAGTAGTGTTGAGGCAGTTCAGTTCAATAAAGTCACATTTGTAACGTGGGTATATGAAGATCCGACATTGTTTCGTGGAGGAAGGAACGAAGGAGCAGAGCATAGAAATCAGAAGGTTAAGTCAACTTCTTCGAAATGAAGATGAAAAACAAACTGGAAGCTGGAATATGACCACATGACCAGCCAAGATCCCTGCATGTAAGAAATAGAGCAATAACTTTTCACGGAAAACTTATTCCTAAAAAGCGAAATTACATTCTTTTACTCATTATGGTTTTAGTGCAACATTACTTCCTTTTTAATTCAATGTAATGATTATTCAGTTTAGTATCGTTTTGTTTCCCAATATGATATTTTATCGGGTATAACATTAGTTTATTTGAGTGTGATGTGTTTGTTTAAAATACGATAGATATTCTTGTATTAAATTAATGTTAATTACATTCAGTATGACGAGCAGCATGTGATTTGTTACAACTCTAAGTATTTTTAGTGTACGTGATTTTATCATTATTAATAATCAAAATGGGGTGTACAGTCAACATACAATGACTATATTTTCGATTCGGGTCTTGTTCATGTTTTGGGGTTAATAAATCTCCACTTGTACCAGTCTTGGTGTTCTTACTTCGTTTCGTACAGATTGAAATGATCCCTGGTTTTTTTCCAAGTATAAGTAATAGACGGCGTGAATATAATAACAACAAATAAGGTCCCATTGTGTTACTCTTCTTATCGATTGGTTGAAGGGTAGGGATCGATTGTGGATTGTACAAATCGATGGTTTTTGTCACTGCGCTATTAAGTTTATCATTCGGAATGCGTATTCTTAGTATCTTATAGCATAGTGCAGTCGGTAAACGTGTCAAGTACATTGAAAATATTTGATTTAATAGAATTTGAGAATAATTCACTCTGTTTTGGTTACGATGTTGGCAGTTCTTTTAATTTTATGGATAATTCTGAACAGTGATTCTCGTGACGACATGTGACCAAAGTTGACTGTATTCAATAATTAAGCTGTTAACTTCCATTCTCCCATCCTTATTGGCAACCGAAGGCTACAAGAATCGTCATTTAGGTTCACTTACGAAATCGAGAAATTACCTCAATGGTTGTTTACATTAGAAATTTATACACTCCAGAAGCTATCGCAATTCATCCATGCAAACCTGACTTCTGGGTGTAAAAGAGTCATATTCAATCCATTATTTTGCCACATATCCTAATTAAGAATATCTTATGAATGCTATTTCGTTTTTTTTTCTGAAGCAAATGAAATATAAAAACAGTGCAACTGTCCTCTCACGATTATTTCTTTTCCCCTCTTTTGACCTTTTATCTTTCCTTCTTTTCTATAGCCAAACAATGGTGTTTGAAGTGTCTATTAGAAATTCGTGAATTTTTGATCGCCTATCCTGGCTATCATGTATTCGCTGAATTATATCTAAATGATTATATTGTATGGATTCAAACGCGAGCATGGTTAGTTTTGTAAAAGTTCAATATGTTATTATCTGTCATGTATATGTTAAATCTCATAATTGATAGTTAATTCATTGTCATACTATCGTTATCGCCTGAAAGCTCTGAGTTCGATACTTGATGGAGTTTTAGTTGCGTAATTCTATGGAATCTCATGCCCATTCGAAACAGCTGTCCAGTGCTCCCTGGTTTTCAGTAGTTGTCTAAACAAGACCAGTCTGTGATATAAACTATGAAAACTTAATCTCTACAAACCCCCTTTATTCTAGGGATTAAACGTTCACTCGCCGAAACGAAGGTCTTGGATCAGATGCGCACTGCTAAGAAGTCTCATACTAGAACGAAACAACTGTCCTAGTTTTCCATGGTGGTCTAGCCAAAATCAGTTCGTGGTTTTTACTATATAAATTCAGTAAATATACTTCTCTCGATTGTATACTAAAATCTCTGACTACTTAAATGCATTTTGATAGTCTCTCTCTTAGTTTATGTAGGCTTTCTCAAAGACACTTTCTATGATGCATAACATATTATTTCTTTTTGTGTATTTATTTAGTGAGTCGAATTTACATGATCTTGGCAAAAGTTTAGAAGAAGTAAGTTCATTCATCTCCCTTATGTTTAAAAGAAATGTATATACTGGTTTATATGTTTCGTTTTTATTGTGATATTTATAGTCTAATTATATTACTTACAAGTAACTCATATTTTATTGCACAATTTATTATTTGTGTCACCTTGGTCGATCTGTAAATTAACTACTTTCTTATTGATTGATGTCTCGTTTTATCCATTCCGCTTATCATCTTGAATCTTAATATTCAGTCTAAACTAATTATTGATTAATTTAGAACTATTTATTCACTCTTGGTGACATGGCTCAGAATCGATCACAACGACGTTGGTGTATACACTCTCTGTCTTCCCTTAAACTAAGAGATTAAAATCACTTCATATCTTTCTTTCTACGTACTAATCCTTCCTTCCTGTACTATACTTCAATATGCAATCTTTCTTTTATATATTAGCACCATTGAATTAACTACTATGAATCCGGTGTACATCTTGTTGTGTTATGATGTATGGCAACTTGGACCGATGCATATATGTGTCTGGTCCTACGTTGTAGCTGACTGATTTATTCACTTATATACTGACGTTACCCTACGATTGGTCTCCATCAGCGCCTGAGCCAATGATACGGAATGAATTAGTTTATCCTATTTACTGCTTCACTTATGTTAGGAGTACATGTATCAGTGTTTGACTGAATATCTGACTGATCCATAAGTTCGTCATAGCCAAAATAAAGGTCTTGTTACTTTAATCAACCTTGGGTACATTATTCCAGTGAATTATACCACATTCTGATTGAAGAATAAGTTTTGATTGTTAACAAACTATTACCTTGTTCTATCATTAAAAAAATAATGTTTACAAGATTAATAATTTCATTCAACTCTATTAGTCAATCTTCTATAGTGTTAAACTAATCAAAAACAATAAATCTATAAGAATTTTCATATTTTACCTCAATATCAGTAGAATGTAGATCAGTATTAGAAAAATGTAATTGAAGTTACCTAGAGCAATGATACTAATTGCAATAAACTATTAAAGAAGAAAATGGTATGAGTAACAAGTGGAGTTAAGTAACAAATAAGGTGTTCAAAATATAAATGAATATGCTGAATTAATATATCTCCACCAATGTGACTGACTTTAATTCATTTAACATTCAAAGTTCACAGAGATTTAGATGGTGGTCGGAGGTAGTCGACAGGAAACCCTGGACCCGGGTTTCGTGCTACTTGGCACTCGTCAGCAAGGTGTGCCTTTAATCTTGAGGGGACTGGTGCTCCCTGGCGGACTCGATCTCGTGTCGCCAAGCTTCACAGTCAGAGACGTTACCACTGAGCTATCCGAGCCGTGGGGATCAATTTCATGCGTGTCTAATCCTTATTAGTGCCGATCGACTGGACACGCATGACATTGATCACCACCCAGTGATCAATCAATTGTGAAAGTTCATAGAATTTGACTGTTTGTTCAACTTTTGCGTCGAGACTATAATTTATGAATAAATTAATCAGATTTGTGATAGCAAGTCTTGGATTTTAGCGCGAAATTTATTTATCTATATGGTTAAATAGCATTTTGGCATCATATCTGATGCCAGTTCGTGATGAAAACATTAACTCTAATTTCTAATCCTAACTTCTAATTCTAAATCCTTATTCTGATTTTCTATACTAGTTTATAACCCTCCTTAGACCCCAGTAAGTTGGTTAATTTTCTCAAAGTCACTTCGGCGACGGTCAAAGGTTGTCCTTAAACTATAGTCTCACTACTTTTGCTAGGAAGCTTATGCTTTTTCTGACCTAACTAATAATGACTTTGTAGTTTGGTGTTGTATATTTGGCAATTGGAGGTAAGATCGGGTTAAAGCCTTGGATCTATGTTCTATATTGACTAGTTGAGTTATAACATGATCAATATAATTAAATCAGCGCATAAAACTAGATTATATGGTATTGGTAATAACCAAGTAATCACTTATTGCGTAAACTTCTCAGTTGCATAAGTGCGGTATGATCCGAATAGCTACGTGTAAACGATTCTGACTGTGATTCAGATTTGAATCCCACGTAGAACATCATTTAACTCAAGATAGCAATACATATTTCTGACTAATTTCAAATAGCACGGAACGTAGATTAAAAAGAGCTCCTTTTAAATCGCCTCTAATTACGTAATGTCAAACAAAATGCATGAAGTTGCTGAATCAAATAATACGAACTGGTACTAGCCGGTGTTGCATCTTCTTGTAACCATCCTTTTCCATTTTCCAATCTACTTCATTGTAAACTAGCATAGCAAACTATGGTCATAGGTGGTTGAGTTATAAATACTTCATCTTCCTTTTAGCCACTCATAGTTCACAATCTCATCAACTAATTACTTTATGTAAATGGATAAGTTGGATAAAATTTTAAAGATTTCATTTTATCTTATTTAAGAAATAGTTAAACAGTGAAAACATTGCTGCCATGAACATAAACAAACTCACAATGTACTCGTGTCATAAGTTCCCTTCAAAACTTATTCAGCTATATTTCGTCACAATTTCTCCTTCTAACAGAGTTCTCTTTTTTCTTTCGTTTTCATTTCCGGTTATAGTTTAAAATGAAAAAAGATTTTGTCGATTTGAACTTGAAACAAATTGAACAACTTGGTCATGAATGTTTAAAAATGGAAAAATTACAAGATTCATTAAAACAAATGTCATTTTCTGTGAATGACATAGAAGATGAAAAACCGAAACCTTTACAAACTTAAACTGAGAAATTTTTCAGAAATTCTTTACACACTTTCCCTTTTGTACATTTAAAAACTTATTTTGTTTTCTTGTATCCCTGCTTCCTTAAAACTTACATTTCTATACTAAACTATATTTTATTCATCGAAATAAATTTATCTATAACTATAGTGGAAAAATCCCAACCTTATTCTCTTTGGATTTAAACTTTTTTAACAACCATATACGTGACCATTATTAATTTACGGTTATCAAAAATCTTATAAACTACTTATAAAATAGTAAGTAGCTAGTTGTTATAACAGATGAAAATCGTATGAATCATGACTGTCTAAATCGTATGTTGATCACTTTTAACAATTGAATTGCTATTGACATGAGACATCTAATAAACGGATATCAAAGGACATAACAAGTAATTGCTAGGGAGATTTGTTTTATATGACAAGATGATACTTGCGTACAAAATATTCAACATGAAAATAACCCCACAAGTCAACATCACTTAAGGTGTAAATAACGGTGCGATATGAGTTTTGTAGAAGAATATTAAAACAATTATGATTTAAAGTTATTATTCACACCCTTCCATGCAACAAGAACTAGGTTTTTCCACCTTCGCACTCCTCAAACATTTTGCCAGAAAGTATTGATAATTTTAAAAATGATTTAATCGGTTATTATGGTTCAAAGATGGATATAATAGCCAATAATTGTGCAGCGATTAACTTTCGTATTTACGTTATTACTAGCTCGGATTCAGTTATATTTAGAGGTAATTTGTTTGTTAACATACTATGTCTTCATGTATTTGGCCAAAAAATTGTGTCCATTAGACATATTGAACATATATTACTTTACAGTTTTGAAATGTAACTCAATGTTGAAGTTATGGATAGTATACTCGTGTTGAAGCCTAGTGCCTTCAAAGTTTAATTCGTGTATGGTGTAACTTCAGAATTAAGGAATCAAAATGTCAGACATGGATTACTAGATAGAGATGGTGAGTCAGTTAACAAGGTTGTGAACTTTTATCAACCAAAGTGGCTACTGTGAATGTTATATACGCCTAGTCACCGCTTCCCCAACGTACTATACTGACTAATATGGATGGTAGTTGAAAATATATGAAATATCACATACAGAATTTGATATTTTTGAATAAACTTAATCGACTACTTATAATCAAACAGCAATTTTAACACTCGCAAAATAATAACGTGTAAGGAAACAATGTGAAGAACTCTTTATATAAACAGGAAAAGATTAGAACTTAGTTTAGAAGTTAATTATTCTGTATTTTGTAAACCATATTAAACAAATTAATTGTACTTGTTTCTTTTCTCTGGGGTGATTTTCATCGATATACAGTATATGGATGAAACTTACTCCATATCATGATGTTCACTGTGCAATGCGTTCTTTAGCTTATTTGTATAAAACATCATTGACTTAAAATCATGACTCAGTAGCTGAGTGGATAGCGCGATGGCGTTTGAAGCGAACGGTACTGGTTTCGAGTCCCAGAGTGAACATCAACTCTGAGATGCAGGTACATCCAGCTGACGAGTTCCAAATAGGACGAAACGCGCGTCCTGGATTCCACTGCTAGCCACTATCCATCATTGCTTACAAAAACCTTGTGAATTAAGGCAGTATCGAAGCATACGCACAGTATGCACATATGCCAATAACAGACTGATCAATTGCAGTCTTAAACCTCAGTGGGAAGATACAAGCCAAACCATACCAAGTGAACATCATTGACTTAGTTGAGATATTAACATAATATAGTGCACAGCTAACATATAGTCAGCTATACTGCTATCAAAACTATTTTCCACACATAAAGCTTTCTTACAAAGACAGATTCATTTGTTTTGTTATCTAGACATGTAGTTTGTTACATAATCACCAGCTTAAAATGATTTCTATAATGCTACTTATTCACAAAAAATAGTGTTTGAACATGTTGGCTAATAATTATAAAGATAAATTTCGCTTGTGCTGGAAACGTATGTTGTGACAGAAGAAAACTTACTTGCTACAGGAAATCCTGATTCACACAATGCAAAGAAGAAAATATCAGACTAGGACTTATTATGCAATTAAAATAAATCAAGGCTACATCAGCTGAATACACTGGTTTTTATGTACTTTAATAACACTGGTCAATCGTCAGATTTATATAAATCGATTTGAGTAGTATTTTACATCGATTAATTCAAAAACTTACAGTAAGAACACAATTTACAATCTTATCATAAGATTAAATTACTGTGACCAACACATGTAACTAAGATATATATTACTCCTTCTTTAAATATGATCACATGAATTGAAGAAAATCAATTCATAGGCCATTTGCACTCCAATAAATTAAAACGTTCCCCTATCAGATCAAGATCTAAATGAGAGCAAATTCAGTAATCTCTATAAATCGTCTATACTAGTATTTAATATATGCTCTTTTTATTTTGATACCAACTGGATCACTTTATAAAAAGACTCTTCAGAATGGTTTATTAGAGTTTAGGTGGATGAAATGTACTTCCCTGAACCTGATTACCATCTAGTGTCTGAAATAGACAGGTAAAGAGATATACGTGTTACATTTGTTTTTTTTTATAAATAACCTGAACTTTTTTCGATGAAAGATGTAAGGAGACCTGGTTCTGATTTATACACCAACCATGGGTTAATTTCTGATCATGAAATTTAAAAGCGTTACACATCCTCGTCACTAAAAGAAGGTAAATTTAAATGTTCTTATTTACCATGCAAATAGTTGTTTTTACCATTTCGAAAAGAACAAGAACAAACATTCTAGCAGAATAGTATGAAGTCATTTTATTTCATAGGTTCTTGTGAGCTGCTTACAACCTGTGATATTTAAAATCATAATTACGTAATGGGTTTAAATTATATGGAAGAGTTTGGTTGGAAGTAATATTGAAGACATTAGTATACTGTATCAAGAGTGTAAATAAATAAATAAACTGAATATTGTAAATATATAACCTATGTGATAGAACATTCCACAACATTGATTGTGACAACAGTTTAAAGGGCCAGATACAAGTGATGAGTAGTGAGTAAACATTGATAGAAATAAAATGAGTAGAGTTCAGTTGATAAAATATGATTATTAATTTAGAAGATAGTTGAAATGAAACTCAATGATGTAATAAATACAAGAAAAAGTTTAAAGAAAAATAATAAAACATTTTAAGATGTAGCGAAGGTATATTTGTCATCAATGCAAAGAACGATTAATAACCATCTGCTTTTGAACACATAAGTCAAGTTTTTGACGCTTAATAGAAACGGTTTGAGAAGATTGAAGTTTGGCTGCATATTATTCACCTTAAAGGATTGCAAAGTATCCATCTGATGTCCTGTATGAAGGAGATATTTAAAGTCTTCCTATCTCTTGTTCTGAGGCTTTTTGGAACATGTTCAAAAAATCTAAGATATACCCTTCTATCTACAAAGAATAAATACTTAAACTACATTCATCCTAATGATTACAGACTGTAAACCGTTATCAGTTCCCTTTAAGCTAGTAAAAGGCATCTTTTAACATTAAGACAAGTAAAATAATTGTAGAAAATTGATCATTATTATTCATATCATCAATAGTTTCATTTCATAATGTATTACAGTGTACATTTTTATGTTCTATACCATAACCTTAACTAATGAGTACTTTTATGGAAAAGAAATAAAAGTCCCTTAAATTAAAAGGACTGAATAGTGAAGGTAATAAGAATGAAATTTTAAAAAGAAAACCAATATACAACTACCCAAGTTCATTATGGTTGTTCCTATGGTGAGAGACCTCTCATTTTTATCATTCTTCCTACCTCTTTTTTCCCTTCCTTCCTTCCTTCCTTCCTTCCTTCCTTCTTTCTTTCTTAATTTGTTACAATGACAATATGCATTTAGTTGATTCTTTCTGTAAATAATTAACTATTTAAATTATTATTTTTATTATTTTGTTTTCTAAAAATAGACTTTTCTCAATGAAAAGAAAAGAGCTTCCTTTTTTGCTAAAAAGAAGAAAAAATAATTAAGAGTAACCATGTAATTTTGAAAAGGATTAGAGAAAAAGAAACTCTTTCTTTAGTTGTTCTAGAGTTATTGTTGATCTCAAGCTCGATTAAAGGAAAAGGGTTGGGCGTGGGGTTAACAACTCCGTCCCGTAGAAAAGGAATGTTAAAAAAAGAACACTAATCAGTATGAATGATTTTGTTTCTAGGTATGGGTTAAGGTTAATAAGTCAAAACCATGTTTACTAATACATGAACTTGACTTTGATGTTTATTGGTTTAGTGATACTGTAATGAATAAAAAATAAACATGGGGAGAACCAATTTTCCGTTTATCACAAAATCACATTTAGTGAAATATAGAAATCATGTATTAAATACATCATTTGCACATCGTATTTGCGTTATCATTTACGTACTTCATTATTCCTCTAATTCTGTTGTTATTTTGATTATCCTCCAATTTCCTTCCTGTTATTTTTTCACTTTATTCTTCTACTGTTAGGCATTCGAATTCCGACTACTTCCACATACTACTTATATCTATCAACATACATAGCATACACCACAATACTATTTGGTTACTGAAATCATAGAAGATGGAGTGGGGTTTGAATCTGTTACTTTGTGACTTAAAACTGAGCACTTTAACCATTGATCTACTAGTTTACATGAAAACTTTATGAAGTTTATAGTAATAAATAGTATTTGTATCATTGAGAAACAATTTTTACATTTCCTAAATGAAGATCAACTTTATAGTATAACACATATTCAAACAACACATAATTTATATCATCATAGGCTGAATTTAGCTAGATACTTATTGAAAAACAGGTATTTCTTTGAACAGCCAAATCAACTCATGAAGTAATTGATTGATTGTACAGTGCCATATAAGTAAATGAAGATGATCTAGTTGAAGTCTATGGGATTATCATAACTAATTGTTAAAGACTTTGAATGACACGATCATAATAAGTCAAAATAGTTTAAATGTTTTTTAAGCGTTTTTTTTTAGCAAGTTAGTTTTCTACAGGATGGGGCCGCTAACCCCATGCCCAACCCTCCTTGTTTATCCGGGCTTCGGACCGGCAGTAGCCCCTGGAGGCACTCCAGGCGGAGTTAGTTTAGATGTACACATTCGTTATGTTGTCTTAGACTTAAAGAATTTATCCTGTCTTTTCAAATCATATTGTCTTTATTTAATATTTTCTACTGTCAGCGAAATCGTTCATTATCATGTCTACTGTCCTGTTATTTATCATGATATATTCATTAGACTATATTGATATGGTTTAATAATTTGTTGTATTAGGTACTATGTTACCTATAACTGACTCCATATTACTTTTGAAGTTATGTTATTTTGAAAGCAGTTGACTACAAACAAATCTGATGCAATAGCAATTATTATAACAATTTAATGATAAACAGATTTATTAAAAAATCAAGGTCAATCAATAAGATATATATATTCAATTGAAGAGTACAGTTTGTACCTATGAATTTAACCAATCAAAATTGACTCTAAAAAATATAATTTAATACTTGGATTCATGAGTCGATTAAGGCTAGACTACCATTGAAAATCTGGAAGTACTAGACGGTCATTTGGTTCTAGTATGGGACTCCTCAGCAATGCGTATTCACGATCCACCACGCACTACTCGAACAAAGAACCATCGGTTTCACACGCGAACACTTAACTGACCGACATCCAACGATGTTTATGTTTAACTTCAACCAATTCGCGATATTGCATGACTGTCCATAATTGTCTTCAGTGAGTAACTGCATCACAATAGACACAATGGAACTCCACGGCGTACCTCTTGAAACCACTAACTAGTAAACACATGATTTGTGGAGATTGTAATAATTTAATAGTTGAATTCATGAATCGATTAAGAAGTTGTTTAATATTTATAAGTACCAGTTTGTTTATTTAAAATTTGGATAACTGCTAGTATACAAAAGAAATTGATTCAAAATGTGTGAATATTTATTTATACTGAATAGAAATTCCTTGTCTTAACTCTCATAGGTTATTATATAATAGCAGAATGGGTTTTGTGGAGAGTTTTAGAAATTTCACAGGTTGAAATCATGAGTCGATTGAAGCTAGACCACCATGGAAAACCTGGAAGTACTGGACGGCCGTTTCGTCCTAGTATGGGACTCCTCAGCAGTGCGCATCCAAGATCCCGCACCACGCGGGGCTCGAACCCATCTAACCCTGTTCTGGGCAATCCTTTCCAGCTCCTTCCAGTTGTTATTCATTCTTTTTATATCTGTTTCTATTTCCTGATGTATTTTATTCTTTGGCTTTCCTCTTTTCGGCTTCCCTTCAAGATTCCAAGTTACTGATTGCCTTGTGATGTAGTTTGATGATTTGCGTAATATATGTCCTATCCATTTCTATCGTGTCTTCCTAATTTCTTCTTCATCTGGCAGCTGATTTGTTCTCTCCCACAGAAGGCTATTGCTGATAGTATCCGGCCAATGGATGTTGAGTATCTTGCGTAGACAACCGTTATAACTAATAGTAATGAAAACATTTGTGTATAATATCAGTTAAACATGAATCACTTATTGGATAACAAATATCTGATAATTCATAAGATCTAACTTGATTGAGATCATGAACCAGTTGATGTTAGATCACCATTGGAAACCTGGAAGCACTGGATGGCTGTTTCATCCGATTGTGGGACTCCTCAGCAGATCTAAATTAACTCATGAATTCGATTATTACAATTGCTAAAATCTCCATGAGTCCCTTATTCTGATACTAATCATTCATGTGTGCACTAGTGACTAGCTTCAAGATGGATTTTTTAAAGCTTTAATGAGAAGCCGTAACCTGTGGAGTCCAATCCGTGTCGGTTGGAAACAATTATCCACCTCAGATAATAAATAAAAGGTTGGGCAAGATCACGGATCGATTGATGTAAAACATTAACATTATTGTATAACGGCCAGCTCAACGGTTTAAAGGTTAAGCATTCACATGTGAAACCGAAGATCCTGGATTCGAGTCGTTTTGGTGTGTGATCGTGGATACACATTGATGTGGTTTTCAATGGTGGTCTAGCTTACATTGACTTATGAATTCAACTATTAAAATTAGTACAATTTCCACAAATCCCCATTTTGAGAATTCACAAAATGTTAGGTGTATTCCACAATCTCAATCACTTTAAAGTCATAATATAGAATACTAGGTGAAATTTTAAGTAAAACAGATTTATATAACCAAAACCTAATGTGATGCTTAGCGTTATTGATTAGTACTGAGATCTAAATCTACACCTTAACTTATGAACAATAGTGATGGATTAACCAGTCGGACTTAACTTTAAAATTGAAAGAATTGTCTTCCTGGTAAATGATAGAAGTGTATCTGTACCTTTGATGTCATTTTCTCTCTACCAATATACGCTTGTGAAAACTTCTTGTATAATCTCCTGAGTGGTTGGATGGAATTAGAGGGAATTCCTGGACCTAGGTTTAATGCTAATTGACACTTATTAATAAGGTATATTTTTATTCATATTTGATCGATCACTGGGTAGGGATCAATGACATGTGTGTCAGGTCATACTTAGTGCAGATCGAATGCTATCGACCAAGTTGCAATGTAGCCACTAGTCTAGGTGACTCGACATATATCTGTATTCTTCGGAAAACTGATGCTACCTATGAAATTTTAAACAACATATCATTTGTTATCATTGATAGAGATGTTATCACTGATCTATTTGAGTAGTAGCTGACTTTTATGTGAATGATGCGTTTGCACACAACCAATCAATCACTGCCTAATCAATATTGATTCTCTTGGATTAATAGTGATATCCCAAATTAATAGATAAACTTCAATAAGGATAGTGTTATATTGATTATTGTCAAGTGATTGCTTATATTACTTATATTTAAACCCTCTTACAACATGGTCTCATATAAAAACTCTCTACTATTTGGCGAATTTTGAATAGTAAAAATAGTATCAAATATTCTAAATACATCATCATACAACATTCCTGATCATTGTTAACAGAATAGCTTTACGATGCTTATTCAAATTTCCCTTCACATTATAGACTAAATTAAGCTAGATAGCCATTGGCAATCGAGTAATATTTGACAATTATTTCATTCTAGTATGGAAAACAAAAACGTTTCAGGATTACGACTGATTTTTTTGATTCTAGAAGCTTATTAATTAATATTGTTATTAGATTTAGGTCTTTATCTATTAGATTATGAATGAACGTAATCAGTTTATATGTTAAATCACAGATTAGATAAAATGTAAGTTTAGATAGTGTATAACTTTTAAAGAATTTCTTTCAGATACCATCAGCAACAGCCTTCTGTGGAAGAGAACAAATCAGCTTCCAGATGAAGAAGAAATTAGAAAGAGACGGTGGAAGTGGATAGGATATACATTACGGAAATCACCAAACTACATCACAAGGCAACCTTTAAGTTGGAATCCCTAAGGGAAGTGGAAAAGAGGAAGGCCAAAGAACACATTACGTCGGGAAATAGAAACAGATATGAAAAGGATGAATAACAACTGGAAGGAGCTGGAAAAGATTACATAGGACAAGGTTGGATGTAGAGTGCTGAAGGGTGACCTATGCTCCTCCACGAGGAGTAACAGGCGTAATTAAGTAAGTAATTATCAATATTCCCTAATATAGACAAATCTACACTGAAACAAATTATCATCAGTTGAATAGTACAAAATTATTTCTATTCCAAGAAGTATATTAATATATTTACTTCGATTAACTATACTACAACAATGTATATATATTTATAGATATAATGTTTGTATGTATATATGGTGAAATATTCTCACTTTTGCCTAGTAACCAATAAGAAACGAAATTACATATGCATATATATATATATACTTGTGTTGACCTGAATATAACCATAGTGACATACACAAATACTTTTGATAGTTACCAAATTATTCAGTGATTGTAATAATGTTCTAATCAGCTTATAAATAATATATTAATATAAATTTCTATCGATATTCATTCAACTACATATGATCAAATGGTTTGTAAGTAGTATTAGTGACATTTACAATTAAATATTCATATTATATATATACATATAATTATGCAATCAACCGAAGGTATCATCGATCATTGTAAGATATGATGTCCTTTTTTATGATTCTTACAATCTGATTGGTTAATACCAGAATTCACTTTTTTTTCTTTTTTCTTTTAAAAATGCATTTACCAGATATTTATTCAATAAAAATTCATTGTTTAATCAAAGTGTAACAATATTACACCGATAGAATGGATCAATATATATTTATCCAAATATGATCAAATTAAATCAATAATGAAAGGTTACTAATTCGATTTGTTTGAACATCTAAGTGTTACATAACAATCTAATATTGATAGAATATGGGAACTAATGTGAAATTAATGGAAATCTGACTTATGTATAAATAGTTTATAAGTAGTATAGTTTGATATTAATTACTTTATTATTGTTAATAATAATAATAATAATAATACTATTGATGGATGAACTTCAACGTCTTTATGAACATCAAACAATGATGGCCATCAGAATATATTCATTTTTAGATAATATATTAACTCATTTACCATCATCACATACTAATAACAATAATGATAATGATATTGATACAGTTCATTCATTGAATAATACACATAATTCTATGAATACTAATGATTATATAAGTAGTATGTTATCTACACAAGTGAACATGGATCATCATCTTCATCAGCGGCATCAACAATATCCATATACTACTACTACTACTACTACCAATGTGATGGATGAGTTAAATACTTCTGTTGGAGATATATTTCCTAGAACATATGAAAATACACAAACATTATCATCATTATCCTCTTCATCATCAATAACATCAGTTTCATCAACATGGTTATTAAATGATATGAATGTGACAACAATATCTAATCCACAAATTTATTCATCTACCTTATATGATACGATTAATAATCATACAATAAATAATATTAGTAATAATAATAATGATGATTATAATGATTCAATATCAAAAGAGATTCAACCTGGAGGTTATTGTGAAGAAATATTCATTTATTTATCGAATAGTGAAAGACAAGAATATTTGTGTACAATATGGTAAGTTATCAATGAAGAAAAGAAACAAAACTTAGTTACATAATGATACAAACTATGTTTTGAAATACTCTATGATCGTGCTATGGTTTAATGAAATCTTTGTATAATTTGAAACGTAATATTCTATCAATTTAGGAAGCAAATTTCATGTGACCTTATAATAATAATAATAGTAATGATAATAGAATCATTACTGAATATAAAGAAATAAAAGGTCAATTTATATAGATAAGATAGATTGCTGACTGATGACAATTTAGCATGGAAAGCCTGATGGTTATATTAGTGTATTAATAATCTACTTATGAAATTAAGTACAGAGAGTGTTCAACATTAGATAGGCGGCCTGCTTGAGTATCTGGGCTACCTGTTCCTGTCATCTAGATATTTCAAAAAGTTATCTATTTTTGTTTGTTTTGATATATCATTGTGTCTATTAATCGCATAACCTATCCTGGTCCATTTCTGAAAAGTGTACAACTTTTCGTTGTCAAAGTTACAAAAAGCCCATTAAGAGATAATGTGATCTCTGGCAATATGCATCGAAAAGAATATACATTATTCAGATGTTCATTTACTGAACTGCTAACATCTAACTGGCGATCACTCAATATTTATCGTCAGGATCGACCAAGAAGAAAGAAACGGAAACTTGTTGCAATACTTTGTGCTGAGAATTCTATATTGTACCAAAAATATAATATTGAATAAAGCTTATAATAATAATAATAATAATAATAATAATAATAATAATAATAATAATAAAACAGATTTAATGTGACTTTAGGTAGAATTTGTGACATACCTATCGCCTTATATGGGATTAGTCAGATGAAAGTACACGAGTCAGTCAGCTACAACGTAGGACCAGGCACATATGTGCATCAGTCCAGGTTGCCACACCGCATCAGCATGACGAGATGAACACCGAATTCACAGCAGTGGTTAGGTCAAAGGTGGTAATATATAAGAGAAAGATTGCATATAGAGATATAGTACAAGAAGAAAGAATTGGTTCGTAGAAAGAAAGATATGAAGTGATTTTAATCTCTTAGTTTAAGGGAAGACAGGGAATGTATACACCGACGCCATTGTGATCGGTTCTGAGCCATGTCACCAAGAGTCTCCAACCATTGGTTACGAAAGTCACGCCGACCCCAACCAAGTAGTCTGCATCTACCAACATGGCTCAGACTAGAAGTTAGTGACTTCAAGCACTGATGCCACGTTTTGGTTTGGCCGCCCCTAACTTTCTTCCAACTATTTCCAATACCGGTTAACATTGCACGTCGTGGTAATCGGTATTCAGGCATACGTAACACGTGGCCCAACCATCTCAGTCGATGAAGATTCATGACCTCATCAACTGATTTACCATCATTTCCTAATACCCTGCGTCTAACCTCACTATTACTTACCCGGTGATCCCAGCAGACGCCAGCAATATTTCTAAGGAATCTGTGGTCAAATACTAATAGCTAACTAGTGTCTTCTACTTTTAATGGCCATGTTTCGCTGCCGTAAATTAAAACAGAACGGACTGCCGCGCAGTATACTCGTCCTTTTATTGATAGACGGATATCTCGCCTTCGCCACAGGTGACGTAAGTTGGCAAAAGCCAAACGAGCTTTTCGAATCCGTGCTGAGATTTCGTCAGACACCAACCCATTAGGGCTGATCAGACATCCTAGATAAGTGAAGTTGCCAACGCGTTCGACTACTTCACTCCCTATCCTTAGTTCAGGTGTTAACGCAGACCAGTCCTTAAGCAACAACTTGCATTTAGAGGGAGAGAAGCGCATTCCAAACAGTCTGGCATTGTTTCTCAGTGCTACCAGAAGACTCTGCATTTTGTCAGCGTCTTCACCAAACAAGACTATATCATCTGCGTATTCTAAGTCGATAAGTGGACCTCCTGGATGGAGATCAGTACCCGAGAATTCAGTCGACGAGAAAGTTATTTCCATCAGTAGATCTATGATGAAGTTAAACAAAAATGGGGAAAGTGGACAGTCTTGACGGACACCACTTGAGGTTACAAAAGTAGATGACAGTTCGCCATAAGCTCTGACTCGACTAGTAGTGTTCGAGTAAAGAGCCTTCACAAGGTATATGTACTTCTGTGGTACGCCTTTCAATGACAGACACTGCCACAGAATCTCGCGGTCTACCGAGTTAAATGCTGCTTTTAAGTCGAGAAAGACCACCATTGTCGGACGCCGATAAGTATGCCTGTGTTCTAGAATCTGACGAATGGTGAATATGTGAATATGTGCACGAATCTCAGAGTGTATGCTCAATCCAACATACGAATCAAGTATCTGTCACTACAAATACTAACTTGTTATACATTAATCTACTGAATACAGATTGACACTCACTTTTATAACAGGTGTCAATTTTAATTTAATTTGTAAGAATTTGTAGCAAGTATCCCATTGTTGACATTCAATTTGGAACGTACGTAAACCTAACTGATCGCTTCCATGTACACTCAATCTATTCTATGTAAACTTGATTCATAGTCACTGTATCGTGGTAATCCATACAGGATTTACATATGTCAACTAAAATTGATCAAATGTCGTTTAAAATATCAACAACTGGATAATTCAAACTATTAATAACTAAATTAAAACGATTGAATAGTTCTATAACTATTCTTTTATCGACTATGAATTCTTGTTTTATCTATGTCAAATCATTTTACGCGGAATCGTCGTTAGTTTGATGACCAGGTTGTTTTTACATTTGATAAAGATTCATTCAACTGATGGCTAGTATTATTATTTGTACACTCTTTGACTCTTATATTTCAAATAATTCAATAACTAAATATATATTCTTACACTTATCCCTCAACTACTTACTTATGGTTATAGATTCTAACTAGAAAAATCAGGGGATTTAAAGTGACCACCTCTTGATTATATACTTGATTCTTTGTCCACCAAGCCCATTATCTTATCAGATGATTTTGTTCAAAATGTTTTTGATGATTGATTTAAGTAGATCTTCAAACTTTAAAGTATTCTGCATAAATTTGATTTTATAACCTAATAGATGACAACTATTTTCCTTTATTTATCTATTATTTGGTTGTTAAGGTATACAAATAAAAGTGACTTAATCTATCCTACTAAATAAACTTTAAAATCCACCTAGTAACACAAAATGTTAGTGATACAAGTAATGATAAATCAATACAAGTAGTCAATAAGATTAAACTATCATTAGTGAATGATTCAAAAGACATTACATTATTTGACTAAAATATTCTCATGTTTCAGTATATTGTTTTCCTAATGATAGATAATATGATAACATTCATGAGTACTTTGTCAATTGTGCTTTATTATGTAGTTATTTAAAAGTAGATCTATTGACTGTTATTGAAAATCAGCATAGGTGAAAAAGGTGGAATTCTCCTATAGTCAAATAATAAACTTTTAGAAATCGATGTTATTATAGATAGTATTTCAATATAACCTCAGATCTATGCTCTGTACTATCCCGAACTAATCACTTCAATGAACATGAAGTTTATTTGTAATTTTCGTGTCCATATTCAATTACTTCAGTGCTCGTCACTTCTGATGGTAAATAAGAGTTTATTGGATAAGGGTGTGTAGATATTGTAGTTAGTTTTTAATAGTTGGATACACGAGTAAGCCGTGACCAATGGAGTTCAACCGCGTCGATTGTGAGGCAGTTGCTCACTGAAGACAATGAAGGAAAGCCGCGCAAAATGGTGGACTAGTTGAAGTTAAACATGAACATCGTTGAGTGCCAGCCAGCTCAGTTGTCTAGATGTTAAGTATTCGCATATGAGACAGAAGGTCTTGGGTTCAAATCGCTTTGTTGTGAGTTTGTGGATGCACAATGGTGAGGAGTCCCATACTAGGATAGTACGGTCGTCTAGTACTTCCATGTCTCCCATGGTGTTCTAGCTTTAATCGATTCATGAATTCAAATATTAGAATAGGAGTTTACAGTTCAAACAACCGCGATAAGAAAGAATGTTGTGGTTAATGGTGTGTTATGTGACGGTGGATAAGATTTGTAGCTCAGGTGGGTGATTTTGATTGGGTTTTGTTCTCTGAGCTGGATGGTTTGATCGTGGAGCTTTCATCGTCCAGAAGAACGATGAAAGCTCTGCGACCAAACCATCCAGCTCAGAGAACGGAACTCCATCAAAATGATGTGTTATATTATTATCACAATGACTGATTTTTGTTTTGTATTCTCACTTTCATAATTTAACCATTTTAATTCCTACGTGTTAATAACTAAACAGATTAATGTATTATCACATAGTATGAAATATGCATCTTATATTCTTCAATCATCCAAGTCTGATAATGATATTTACACTTCCTACATACATACTTAAACCAGTTATTTGAATGAGAAAACTAAGAATGAATAGAAAAATGTGATCAGTTAACCAAAACGAAAATCAACGAATAACTCACTGATTAATAAATGTCCATCTCTCTCAGATAATCAAATCAGATCTTCTAACTAATATCATCTGTCTATTTTGTCATAGAGTTCAGCTTAATCTTGATAAGTATCGTTCACCTGTTATCATCTTTCATTCGTCATTTGGCCTATGCTTGATTGAATAAGTTTATCAGTAATATTGCATTTTAAATGAGCTGGCGTAGCTAATTTATTTACTCGAGATTGAGACCCAAAGTTTTGTGTAAGAACAGGTTGATACTATTCAGTTCCCCCAAACTGTATAATGATGGAACAAATTTCGAACCGACAATATACTGGTTGAAATCCAAGAGTTTTAACCAGTACGTTACAGTTACTGTCCTATATGTTTTATCAAGTTAGAAACATAGAGTTTTAAAAAACTGGTGTTTTATTTGTACTAAATTCTATTGTCATTTGAATTTGGATATTACTAACGATCATTATCAGTAGGAGAATAGCATTTGGCATAAGTTTTCTTTACGTATGTATTCACGAGACCATTGATATATTCA